GGGGGATTGGATCTCCCCCTCGACAGCGGGACGCATCCCTCTTTGAAAAGGGAGAGCTGCTTCCAGCCTCCTGACCTTCCTCCAATGACAACCCGCACCTGAGCCGTTCCTATGGCAACGCGAGTGACATCACGGCTGCACAGTGATGACTTCAGAGCGCAGACCGGGAGAGGGGGAAGCAGGACCATCAGCTGCCCTCCCCTAGGTGCCTGTCAATGAAGCACGGGGTGGGGGGGCAGTTGGGGCCTGCGCTCCTGGCTCTGCCACAGACTCCTGGGGTGACCCCGGGCAAGTCCCCTCACCCAGCGCCTCTGCTCCAGGAAGCTGCGTGGCACAAGCAGGCCCCGGCTACTGGAGAGCAGGGCTGCGCTGGGGAGCCTGCAGCAACCCCACGGGCCAAGGGCACAGAGGGCCATGCGCGGGGATGGGGGAACGGCAACACGACGGCCTTTGCGAACAGGCCCTTCTGGGACCTGCCAGCGCGGCCCGTTGACGGGAGGGAGGAAAGCGAGCCAAGAGCTGCCGCACGGCTCTCTGCGGAGAAGTCCTGCCACCTCCTCCTCCGCGCAGGCAGCAGCGAGGCCTGGCTGCCCCACTTTCCAGATGGGCAGGTTTCCCACAGGAGCTCAGAGCCAGATGGTTGCGGGCTCCGCGCCGGGAGCCCTGCTCCCGAGCCAGCCCCGCGCCCGGGGGGTCCGGCCACGCATCGAGGCCAGCGGAGCTCAGGTAGAAGTGCCGGTGGCCCTGAGGTTAGAGGTCGTGGCCAAGGTCGTGCTGGAGAGTCCCCCCGTCGCTCTCCTGGGCCCAGCATGCACGCCGGGGATGGGGATAGCCGGGCTGAGCAAAGCCCACATTACTAAAGCCCCCCGCTGCATGAGGCTGCACACGCCGTGGTCCTCGCTGCACCCATGGGACGTGCTCCAGAGGGGGAAACTGAGGCACCATCAAGGAAGTGACAAAGCCAGGAGTCCAGCTGGGCTCAGACCCAGGGGCCAGGCTGCCCCCATAGACAGCCAGCCCTAGGCAGGGCATTTCTAATGTGCCAGGGCACGACACCGCCTCCCCACCCCCGGCACGCAGACTCCTCGCCTGCGGCTTCCAGCCCTGCGTGAGCCAAGGGCCAGATCCCCCCAGACGCTGGCCCACCGGCCCGATTGCTCTTTGAGTATGAACGACGCCCTGCAATTGCTCGGCCCTGGCTGCGGACCCAGGCTTGAAAGCCTCCAGGCCCTGCAGCATCCGTCCCAGCCCTCCCACGTCCCCCGGGCGCCGCGAGCCCAGCCTCCCGGAGCTATTGCCCCTGCGGGAGGTGACTCTGACCCCTAGAAAATCCGCCCTGGGCGTCTTAAAGACCGCAGCAAGCTCCTTGGCCTACCGAGGCTCTTGCCTTCTTGGAAAAGCAAGACGAAACCCTCCAGTTCATTCTCATTCAGCACCACGAGCAGCTCCTCCGGCTCCAGACAGCCGGGGACGTTTGGAAACGGCTGCAAAAATGCCAGGGAAAAAGGGAGCCCCTGCAAGGAGCAGCTCGCGCCCAGGCCGGCCTGGGCGATGCCCCGTCCCTGGGGCCTGGGCAGCAGAGCCGGAGCAGGAGCAAAGGGCCGAAACCAGCCGCCAGGAGCCGTTTCCTTGATCGAGTCGCTCTCCCTCCCCATTAACGACTTTAACTATAATTGACTGCTGTGCTGCTGGCCTGCTAATAACCCTCAGGCGGCGAGAGGATCTCAAGAGCTGCTGCTCAAGGAGCTTTTTCCCGGGCCCCCTTCCCAGCAGGCCGAAGCGCCTCCGAAGCAACCGTCTCACTGTTGCACCTCCGTGCCAGCAAGCCTCAGATACGACCACCCCCTTGAAGAAGACTTCGGGCCTCGTATTGGACCGCGCCAGGCCCGACACGTTTGACCCGAGCCTGCCAACATCACCGGGCTCCTTCCACCTGCCCTTGCGAAGGAATCTCCTGCGGGCACGTGGCTTTGTAGCAAACTCAGCAAACTGCCCAGGCCCCACAAATGACCGCCAAGGCCTCCCCAGGCCCCCAAAGCCCCGGCCAGGCCTCGCTTTCCGAACGGACGAGCTCAACCACGCTGCCATCCGTCAGAGCCAACCGCTCCCCATAAAGTCTGGAGGGAGGAAGAATCGCCCTGTGATGGATGGCGCTCGTAACCCATTTGGCAGACAGGGATCTCGGCTCACGGAGAAGGCGCCGGACAAATGGCAGCGGAGATGCTGACGCCAGACGTGCCACGGCCCAGAGATCCCCGGGAATCCTACCACGCGCTAATACCTGGAAATGTCGGCTAGGAGGGCCCCTGGGGATACGGCGCCCCAGCCTGGCCCAGCAGCCGGGCAAGGCTGAACCGCAGCATCTGCAAACCAGGATGAGCAGAAAACCTTCAGCTAACCGGCGCCGAACCGCTCAGCCGAAAAACTGTCAGGGCACCTGCTTAGACTCAGCCCTGGGACTCAAGAGCCGGATTCATTTCTGAGCTGCCATTACAACGAGCCCGAGCCCGAGCCCTCCAGGCAAGTGCCCCCGGGTGCCCGGGGCCCTGCAGAAGCGCTCCGTGCCTCTGCATCGCCTAATCCCGCGGACAGCAGGGAGAGACACTGGCCGCTGCGATGAACCAAACCACCTGCCGGGGAGAGCTCGCATTACTAATGCACCCTGCAGCGTCCCTGCGCGGACTTCAGGCCTGTGCCGATAGCGAGCTAGGAATCGGAGGGAGGAGGCGGAATAAAGTGCCCTGCGTCTGGTGGCCTTGGGACTTCCTCTAGCGCATCTGGTACAACCGCCAGACACGGCTCCTGGCTTGGAGAGACCTGGGCTGGGATCTGGTTTGGACGTGCTGGAAAGGAGCTGCTTTTCTCAAGAGGGAAAAACCACACCAGCGCCTTCCACCTGCGAACAGCAAAGCCCTCGCGTGAAAACTATCCCACGTGTGAAGCCTCCAGCCTCTCGGGCAAGCTGGGGCCTGAAGATATGAAATAGCTCGTCAAAGGTCGGTGCAGAAGTGGGAATAAAACCACCCCGAGTCCTCCTTTGTTCTTCCTTCCACATGTATTTTTGCTATAAATGGGGGGGGTCAATGTGGCTGGGCCTCGCTGAATAGGCACCGGGAACGGAAGAGGCGCGACCGAACGAGACAACTCATAGCTGGGCGGGTCGACCCAACCTCACATATTTCCCTGTGTAATTTAAAAGGCTTTTCTTTTATCAGACTGGCAACTCGTGATCCAAAACAGCCACCCAGGTTGCTTCCTAATCATCCAACAGCGGTGTAAATGGGGGCTTCAGCTCCTGGATCGTATCTCCTCCTTGGATTTTGCATGAATAATTACAGTGCTCTGCCTGGGATGAGATATGATCTATAAATGGGGCTGATTATGAAGTGATGTCACATATGCAGATGGTAATGATTTTATCTTAAGATGAGAAAATGGGTATGGCAAGGGGTCCCGAGGCCGTGACCCTTCTCAGACTGGGGGAGGGCGGGCAACAGCACGCAGGCGGGTCTGCCGGGAGCATCCCCTGTGCAGGGCTGCAGCCGGTTCCCGGGCACCGCGGTGTGAGCGCCCCAGCATTAAACCGCCCCGCCGTCGCTCGCCGCACGCTAACACATGGAGATGGGACGCTTGCAACCAGGCGGGAGGTGCCAGCCGGGAAAGGGACTCTCGTAGGATTAGAAACTCTGCAAAGGCACCTGGCCGGAGAGTCTCTGCCCCAAAGGGCGAGCCGCGGACACGGCGGGCAACATTCAGGGAGGTAAATGGAGGCGCAAGGTCGCACGGTGGAGCCAGGAATAGGTCTCGGGCCTCCCCGTGCGCAAGACGGTGCCTCACACCCTGGCCTCGTTGCC